TTTTATGCACAGTATATAAGTGATTGTATAAAATGAGAATGAAAATGAAATAAAAATATTCAGATCTGAGATTACTGTCAAATAAGGGTGTACAGAATTCTAGTCTTCATGAATCAACTACAGGCTGCATGTTGTTTAAAGAAGAAAATGTTAATTATCACCTGGTTTATTTGAAAGCGTTGTTTGGTTTATTTGATTAGGTTTGAAGGCTTACTTCTATTTATTATTGCTTCAGATTGTGAAAAATTAAATATTAAAGATGTCACTTCTTTGTAACAACAAGGACTTTCAGAAAACATGCAATTAAGAAAAGAGAACAATGATTCCTGTTCAGATAATTTGTCTGCTTTGTTCCATATTATCTACTGAGACCGACACTGTCTCTCTCACTCTCATTACACATATTGTTCTTTAGTTTGAGATTCTCCCATAATATTTATTTGATTTCTACAGCCACCCATCTCACTAAGTAACTTGTGTACATCATGAAGCATAAAGCAAATAAAACATTACAAAATAAATATTCATGGCACCAAGTAAAAAACCAATTTGAATGCCAATCCAATTTCAGGATGGTACTAAATTATTCAGGATGATAAAAACTCACGGAGGCATAGCACAAAGCTGCAAAAAGAAATTTCTAAATTGGCAAATGAATTTAAATAGCTCCATTTAAATGGACAAGGTTCTCCCCTCCCCTCTTCTGCCTTTATTTTCTCTAGCCTCAGAAAATCATAACCTGAAGAGAAAGTTATTAAATGATCTCAGGCAAATGGGAGTCCCCATTTGACAGCTGCTAACAAGGAGGTCCCTAGCACTGCTCTGGAGTAGACTAACTTTTCTAAACCCTTCTTACAACACAGAAATTATCTCTAATTTCAGAAGCTAATGTCAACCCCTCAGTCTTTCTCCTATTCTTATTTTTTTGGGACATTGCATCCTTTAAAATATTTGTTCACCACTCCCTCATCTCCCTTTACTGTATGTAATATTTTCTTCCAACTAAACCAACCCAATTCCTTTTTAACGTTGGTTTCCAGATCCTTATCAACTTAATAGCAATTCTCTGGCAGCCCACTTCAACTTCTCTATGCCCTTGTAAAGAACAATTCCCAGGCACCCTGCCCAATGCTCCAATGTGGTTTAACCAATACAGTTGATCTAGTTTTCTCTCACATACCTTCCAGGCCTAAATCCAAGGACCTTTAGGCCTCAGAAACTCATCCGGTCTGGCCTCTGTCAGCCACATGCACGGCGTTTCGGAGCAGAAGATCCTTTTCTGAAAGCTTGGAGTTAAAAAGGCTACAAAGAAGACAGCAGAGAAGGTTGCAGGTAATTTCATCCACCTCAGGTCCCAGGTTCTGACCCACCCGCCCTTGAGAAGGAAGGGGCCCCACTCCTCCTTCAAGCCTTTAAATCTTAAGCTGCAGGGTGAGGCAGAAGTCCTACCTCAGGGGTCCCCTTCACCCCCACTTTCCCTGACGAACCTCCTGGCTTCCTCTGCAACCAAGAACACCCATTCCACCCCCCCACCCACCCCCAGATCCCATACAATGGAGGTCCCCTCATTTCTGGCAGGGAAAATTCCAGGGATGCTCAGATGCAGCACCCTCCACCCCCCCCATCGCGCCCCTCTCCTGGGGCCTGCACCCCCCCAATACACCCCCTCTTTTTCACCCCACCCCCACGGAGGTCAGCCCCTCCCATGCGCCAGGAG